AATACATATTAGTAAAAGAATATAATCATACATTTAAAAAAGAAAAATTAAATGCATTTGGATACATATTTAAAAAAATTGCAGATATTTGGCTTGAATTGAAATCAGTCTGGTTCAACATTTTTCAAGAGGTAAATACTGTTTTTATGTCTACATATAACTGTTCATTCTTTTCTTTCATTCAATAAATTAAATTTATTTATATTTTTTAGAATAATCAATTTTTCTAGAAAGCAAAGATAATATTTTTCACCTTTACCATTGTTAGATTTAGTTCTAGCCATTATTTGGCACATCATTTTTGGTACAGTTCCACTATCTTTTATTTGCTAGTAATATTTAGAGATCAATATTATTTTTGTATTTATCATTACTTAAACTTAGTTTCTGGTTATAAAATCTATTTTTTCAATGTGTTTCCAGTTGAACCAATATAAAATTTATTCCTTTATCATATTGTATAGCTATAACTATATTATTAGTCAAACATGACTGTTTAAGGGACAGTTTATATTAGTTTGGTAGTTAGAATTTTTAATTTTTTCTACTCTTGCTTTCTTATAGTTCTTTTTTCAAGTTATATAATTATTCAGTAATACATCGTTATGATGGGATATAGTTTTTTTCTGTTCCTAATGCAGCTGTGTAGCTGATGTTTGTTATTTTTGTTAAAAATCTTTAGTCTTGAATTTTTTAAATGTTTTCTACTAGTTTGAGAAAGATTCTACCAATATTAGTTTTTACCTTGTAGCTATAAGTGGGGTTAAACCATGGCGCATTGCGAAGATATATATATATATATGCCTCCAAAATCATTAATTGAAACTTGCTCTTGGATTTGTTTGAAATGCAAATGTGAATAAGGTGATACTTTTCATTACTTAGCTTACATATATTGCAAATGTATAGGTAAAGAAATTGCATACCTAAGAATATGTATTGAAAAAATAGCTGTTTTATTTGATTTATGATACAAGCTTTTGTCTTGTTGGTTTGTTTCTATATGCAGGAAATTTGTAGTGATATGCAAATTAGTATAATTTGCATATGAGCAGGTAGCTCATATGATAAATGGACACCAACTAGAACAGAAGTCGAATGCTTACTTAGCAATATACACGACATAACAATGGCGTCCCCGATAGGATACTCTTTGGTCCTTGAAGACCCTGTGTATGTAGATATGTGGATTCGTTGCTTTGCTGCTAATGCAAGATGTAAAAAGTTGAAAGACAACAAAAACAGAGGAGGGGAAAATGAAGTCACCGACTCGTTCATGGCTACAGCTGGTTGTGAAGCGATTATGAAGGTTGCTACAATGGTTTACCCTTGAGAACTAGAAGAAATGACTTTCGAAGAAATAAGTCAGGTTATTAAGGGAAACATGAGGCCAAAGAAAAGACTGCAAAATTTGTGGGAAAAAATGGGAAAACCGTTTTTAAAAAAAACCAACGTACAATTACATCAGTTTGATGGTTTGATTATAGCAATTATGGGTTACTTTGAAGGTTCAATAGAACTAAAACCAAAATATGAAATAGTACCCATTATAGTTACAAATTGCCGAAAAATGCATGGACTATTGGGGAATGACGTGTTAAAAATAAATTCAACGAAGTTGATTAATGAGATAGAAATAGAAAAAACAGGAAAATTAAAAAATTATGAAGCTAGCTTGAAATTAAAAGAAAATGTTTCCCCCTCATACTCTGAAGTTTGAAAAAATACCAGTGCATTTATTACCATTGGTAATAGCTAAATTAAAAAAGCTAATAAAGGAAGACTTATTAGAACCTGCCCCTCCAGGAGGAAGTAAATGGGCATCACCCATTGTGGTATTGAAAAAAAAAAAGATGGTGACCTGAGAATTTGTGGAGATTATAAAATAGGGGTGAACCATAAAGTTTGTGCTGACTCGTACCCTATTCCGAATGTGGAAGTAGCTTTACATAAACTTGCTGGAATGAAAGTATTTTCGAAGATAGACCTAAAATCAGCTTATCACCAAATACCAATAAATGAAAATTTTAAAGAAGTGACGACCATAAACACACCTATAGGCCTGTTAAGGTGGAAAAGAATGCCGTATGGCATAAAAAGCAACAAGGCAATTTTTCAAAAGCTATTGAAAAAGTAATAGGAAATGTTGAAAATACCATCTGTTATCAAGACGATATATGTGTTGGAGATTTAAATGAAGATGATTTAAAAGAAAAAAAACTGAAAATATACTGAACCAGCTAAGAGACGCTGGTATGACAATAAATACAAAAAAAAATTATGTAACCAACAGTAATGAAATATCATTTTTGGGTTACTCAATATCAAAGGAAGGATCTCTCCAGATAAAGTACTAATAGAGAAAATTCTAAAAGTTGCTACACCGAAAAATAAAAAGAGTTGGAGTCCTTCTTAGGTTTGGTAAATTTTATAGAAAATATGTACCAAAATATAATGAGTTGACAGAACCATTTGCTAAGTTAAGAAAAAAAATGTGGAATTCATTTGGTTAGAACACCAACAGAAAGCCTTTGAAAACTTAAAACAGATTCTGGCAAAAAAAGCCAATAGTACAAATTTTTGACCCTAAGAAGGACATAACTCTAACTACTGGCGCTAGTGAGCAGTCCATATCTGGTATTTTGTCACAAGATGGGCATCCGATAATGTACTTATCGAGGAGATTAACAACAACTGAACACAATTATTCAATATAGAAAGGGAGGCACTAGCCATAGTGTGGACAACGGATAGAACAAGACAGTTTTTGATGGGAAAAAATTCTTGTTGAAAAGTGATCACAGACCACTGGAATTTATTTTCAACCCAAGAAAAAAGAGCTACCGAAAGTTACAACGTCCAGAATATTGCATTGGGCGATTAGACTGATGGCGTTCGACTTTGACATTGAATATGTTAAAGGGAATATGATACCGCACGTTGATGCCTTATCTAGATTGAGGTTTTATAGAGGAGAAGGACAAAAACGATGAGGAATTTGAAGACACATTCTTGCACCTTGTAGAAACCGATGTAATATCTGTAGATAAAATGGCTACTGAAACTACAAATGACCAAGTGTTAAATAGAATAATGTCGAGGATAAAACAGAATTACTGGGGAAATTGTTCAATGGCTGAAAGACCATTCAAAGAAATTAGACATAGAATGACTATAGAAAACGGGATAATATGTAATGGAGACTTGGTAGTTCCCCCAGAAACACAGAAGAGACAGGTTATAAAAAGTGTACACGATGACGTACATTGTGGAGTGGCAGCTACACAAAGAAGATTAAAATTGGAAGCGTGGTGGCCGAGGTACTCAAGAGACATAGAAGACTACGTAAGAAGATGCAAAAAATGCACAGAACTCAGGAATTTTAAGCAAAAGAAAATACATGTATGGCCCCGAGAAGTAGAACCATGGAGCAGAGTATACATGGACCATGCCTATGTCAATGGGATAGGACTATTATTAATATTAGTAGTCGCATATTCAGGTTGGCCTGAAGTGGTGAGAGTACCTGATAAAAAAAGTACCACCATAAAACAAATATTAAGAGTAATATTTTCGAGGAATGGGACACCGAGAACATTGGTGACTGATAACGCACCAGAATTTGTGTATGCTGATTTGCATGAATGGCTAAGAAAAATAGGATGCAGACCTTACAAGACCCCTCCCTACCACCCTCAAAGTAATGGGATAGCGGAAAGGATGGTCCAGACAGTAAAGAAGGGCATAAAAGCATGCTTGCAACAGAAGGAGGAAGTCGATGCTTTTCTACCAAGACTACTATTAAGTTATAAAACAATTCCACATGCAGGCAGGCTGGAAAGTCCATCTGCCTTAATGGGCAGACAATTAAGGTCCCCTTTGACAATGTCATATGCCACAAATCAAAAGATGTGGTACAAAAGAAATAGGAATATGCAACCCGAATCAGCCGAATTTATTATGCAGAAAGGACATAATACTGCAGTATTAAATAAAGAAAATGGGAACAGTGTTCTAGCTCATGCTGACCAAATAAGATCCCAAGGAGAAGAATCGGATGAGGAAATGCCTTCAGAGATGCCCATTACTGACGTAACAGAAGAGTTAATGCAGAATAAAACTGCATGGAGGAAGAAGTAGAGAGGGATGAGTTAGAAGAGGAAGAAGTAGAATGGGACAAGTTAGAAGAAAAGACCACAGTATGCAAGAGGAACAGTTTGATTATAGGGAAAGACGTGATAGATCTAGATCTCCAAGGAAAGGAGAGAGATAAAGGAAGATGTTCAGGAGGGCACAAGAAGAAGTACAAGAAGTACTTTTTATAAGGCCTCCTCCGTTATAGGGAGATGTAGTGATATGCAAATTATACTAATTTGCATATGAGCAGGTAGCTCATATGATAAATGGACACCAACTAGAACAGAAGTCGAATGCTTACTTAGCAATATACACGACATAATAAAATTACATACCAAATATTGCAACATATAATGGGTACTAAAATGTTCTCTCTGACCACTCAAGAATGCTTTTTGTTTTTGCTTTTTTGTATCCTTGGTTGAGTTGAGAACTTTTCAATATTTACTTTTATTTTTTTTTAAATTTGGTCATCAAAATCACCATTAATCTATCTTAAACTTTCTTAACATCCTCCCCCTGCAGTTTCCCTTGTTTTTTTCATTCTTGTTTCATGATAAATATTGAGTGCGTCCCATATGCCATAAAATATGGTACATAATTCTATAATCAGAAATTTATATTTAATTTTTATTTACACACATTTAAAAAAAAATCCATTAATAATTGTATATAAATTGATAGATATTTTGACACCTTTAATCAAGTTCTGATTTTCTGTTTTGCTATTAGCTTCTCATGACAGTATTTGAATAGGATATCTATTCATGGTAGCTATAATGATAAAATTTTGTATATATACTTAGTATCTATTCTGTAATATTAATTTAGTTCTATTATCATTTTTCATTTTTCTCCTTTAGGTCAACACCAACCTTTATGGAGTTCACCCCTTTTATATGAATATTGACAAACATGGAAATGCTTATGGTGTATTTTTATTGAACAGCAATGCAATGCGTGAGTAACTGTTTTCTTAGTGATATTTGTCTGTAAAGGTAATTAAGATTAACAACTTGTTCCAGTCAGGCATATAATTAATTACCTTAAGTATTTCTTATTCAGTTTTGGCAAGAACTCAATTTTAGGATTAACTTACTAAGTTTTTCGCCACTCTAAATTATTCCTAAATTGTTTTTGCACCAAAATCTTTAAAAAGTTGGGCGATAGTGACCAGAAGATTATAAACATGAAGTGAATAAAAAAAAAAAAAGAAGAGTTTCAAGTGTTTTTTTGTCCTTGTCTTTTCTTAAACATTTTTCTTCTGGTTCAGTTTCTCCCAAATGCAATAATATTTAACAATGATAAAATTGACATCTTAATCAATTACAAATGTAAATAATTAGTATATTTATAAGTACACATGAGTTTCAAATAGACAAGGTGGTTGGTGGGACAAAAAGGTGTGGCTGGAAAGATTCTGAATAATAATAGTAATGAATTGTCCTTTGTCCTAGAATGCTGATAACCTAAATTAAAGGCTACGATGAATGTTGATGCAATTGTTCATATCAGTATGGTTCTTCAAACTGACATAGGTTTTTCACACCAACCAAATCTCCTACCTTCTGTGCACATTTGATCTTTAGTACTTACATTATTTTTTTACAATTACTTTGTATCAATTTCTTAGGAGGAGATGTGCTTGCTCTCTACTTAGAAATGAATAATGAGTTGGATGAAGACATTATAGAAATCAGAGTAAAGATTCACAGAAGAACCTTTTGAAGCAAAAACATAGAAGTGTGAAGTGGACTGGGTAATCAGTGGATACCAAAAACATCAAAATGTTGGCAAGTTTGGCAGGATATATTGGGAGAAGCCTAAGTCAAACTGCAAAACTGTTTTTTGCAACAGGCATCCCAGATGACATATTTTTGGTATTACAACAAATACCTGGTGTTAAAAAGATCCAAGTCAATGAATTGATATCAACTGAAAGAGTACTCACAAATAAAAGATCATATGAGCCTAAAAAGTAGCAGTTATGTGAAATGATGAAGGAACAAAAAAAAAAAACAAAGATCAGATGGAACAATTCAGTTTCTGGTGTTTTGTCACAGTTAATTAGAGATTAAAGAGAGCCTCTCAAATCAAATGTAATGTATGATAGGTATAGAAAACTAGGGCATACTGTAATGAATTGCTCTTAGATGAATGAACCAGGGTGAGTTTCTATGTCAGTAGTTATCCTTTTCTCGGGGCAGCAGTGCAGAAACCAATTAATATCAGTAATAGAATTTTGGATGGGAAGTAATATAGCAGTAGCTCATGTTGCTACCAGTTGTACAACCACTTTGCCTGCTCCTAAGATTGCAAATGGTTGGGGTAGGAGTAGCAGTTTAAGAGCAATTGATGAAGTAGCGTAAATGAACCAGTTGGATTGAAGTACAAATACAAGGGATGTACATAACTGTAAAAGCAATCATTATTGATCATATCATATTATTGTTGAGATGGATGTAACCAATAAGCTGGGAGGTGTGTCTATTAGTAATGGTATGGTTAAGTTTGGAATGGTGAGTTATGTCACCCGTACCTAAGCTACAAAATTTTGCAGAGCAGAATTTGATGGAAAGAGGTGGACAGTAGAATGGAATTGGATGGGAGAGCCAACAGCATTAAAAAAAATAAAAAGGTGACATATTACAAGAGAAAAAGAGAAGATTTTGAAAAGGAAGTGGAACAATGGATTACAGAAGATATTTCTTCATCATGGAAAGGTTGAGTAGAGAAGGAGCGTTACTATTGAAAGTAAAGTCTAACCTGTACTGGACTTTCAGGAACTGTGTTACATGCTATACTGAAAGCGGTATAATAGAAAAAAAATGAGAAACATGGAGGCAAATAGCAGGGTGAATCAAAATTGTGGACCTCAGGTTGGCCTGCCTGCAATTACATATCACAGAGAAATTGTGGTGATACTTGTTGATGAAAAATAAGGGTAAAATATACTGTTTAGCTAGATTGGGGTTTGGGCTCAATGTTTTACTAGAGATTATGGTAGCAGTCCTAAAAACAGAATTGGCAAAGAACAATAAAGTAAAAGTGTCCACAGAATTGATGACATTATAGATTTGACTAAATTGTCAACAGATGACCATTTATAAAAAATTGGATTAATAATGAAGCCTCCTGATTGGAGCTCCCACTAGAAAGAGATAAAGCATGAAAGTCGGTGTTTAAATGAGGAAATGATGTGCCAGAAGTAGATATGAATTATTCTCAATTTGGAAAATTGGTGGGATACTATATCATTGCTACAAACAGCATGTAGTTATGTAAAAAGGAGGGTCAGTGGGATAAACTGGGAATATAAAGTAGATGATGAGATGATTGTTATGATGCAGAAGATTCTATTTGAGGTAAAGGAGGAAGACCCAATGAGTGGGAGATGGTATGTACCTAAATTGGGAACAGTTATGGTATGGTGTAATGTGAGCAACATTGTTACATGTAATTATTGAGATAGTGTAGTGGCTGAAGATGTGGCATGGTTAAGAAAAATGATTATAACCACATCAATGTGGTTGAGTTAGAAGTTGTGTTGAAGTGTATTAATTTAACCCAGGAATCAGGGTTGATAGAGGTAGAAATCAGGACTTATTCAGCCACAGTAATAAGTTGGGTGAATTCTACAATAAAAAAAGAAGAGAGAAGAATAAGCACAAAATGTGCTACAGAAATTATAGTGGAACAGATTAGGAACACTGGGAGAACTGGTGACTGATTTTGGGCTGAAGTTGAAAGCAGTGTTTGTGACTTCAGAAAGAAATAAAGCATATATGCTGATGCAAATAAAGAATTGGTTGGTCATCAAGAGGGAAGAAGTGCAGCAAGAAACAGTTGAATTCTGCTGTTCAGGGTGTGTAGAACTGGATGAATTGCACAATACTCATCATGTTGGAGTTGACATGACATATCTAGTACGGAAAGTTGACCTACTAGAGATAACTGGATAAGTTTAGCTATTGATATAACATACAATCACATTTTCCCTATCAATAGTTAATTGCAACTGGCAATATGGAAGGAATAGCAGCTGTAGTTACAGAAGAATGGGAGAATTACGTATTTGAGCACGGACTGGTAGAGATGATGCTCAAAACTTGTCCAGGTCATACTTGAAAAATGGAATATTCAAAGATATTACAGTGTCCCATAGGGGCCAGGTGGAAATAGGATAGTGGAATGAAATCATCAAACTGAAAGCCATAGTTGAGAGTGGGGCGATATCACTCATAGAAGCAAATTTTTGGTATAAGATGGTATCCCAAACTGGATAGATGAAAGCAACAGTGCCAAAAATGTCAATTTTCATCTATAAATGGAGGCATCTGAGAGATGTATTGCAAATAAAGACAAGGAGGTGCCCACAATAATCCAAATCAAAGAAGTAGTTTGGATGAAACCTCTCAATGCATGGTGTATGATGCAATAGGGAAGATGGGTAGTGACTGAGATGCAATCACCAAATATCATAACAGTAGATAGGGTGCCACAGCATGTTCTGGATATAAAGTGCATCATCCATTCATCTGTCGCAGATGTTAGCCTTGAAAATCTAAGAGATGAAAATATAATGTTGTCAATGCAAAGATCACAGAGGGAGCATCATTCACTATACTTGATTTGTGGCTGTCATGTAAAAATGATCTAAAAGATTGAGAGGAGGACATGTGGTTTGAATAAATGAATAAAAGAAGTGTAACCAACAGAGAAACTGAGTAAAAATTTTTGTCTATAAAAAATCTCTCCTGCAGGAGAGATTTTTTATATACAAGGACTAGAGCATTGAAAGTAACAAATGTCTATATAAGGAGAGATTTGGTGTTTTTTTTTTTTGTTAACATGGTTTTGGAATACCAGGCAGATACAAGTATTGTGATTGCCAGAGTTAGAAGGAGGAGGAGGAAGAAGAGGAGTGAGAGAAGTAGATAGATTGAGAGAAGAGAAAAGAAACATTTTAAGCGAGATCAAAATTTGGTAAAACGGTCAAACCTTACAGCACAAATATTATTTTCCCTCTTGCTTATTTCTGTATCAGGAATTGGTGAGTACAAGCAGTTCTTCATTCTTGTTCACTTTATTTAAACCATAATAAACCACATAACCAATGATATTCAAATGCATCAGTAGTACCACCAGTGCTAAACAGTCATGATTTCCCCAAATGGCCAGTTCATCAAGAGATCCAAAGAAGCAAACTAGGAAAAAAATCAATTTAATCTCACTGCTCTAGATGCATCCTTTATTGGCACATTTCTCTTTTACAAGGAACTTTCCTGGATATTTAATGAAATGGGTATTTGGAAAAGTATGCCCTGGGTGGATTTTTCTCCAGAAAGAATAATCATCCCAGCCTGTCTATTTGAAACTCAAAGGCATTTGACACCTATTGTTTCATATTTTTGCTTCCTGAAAAGGACTTTTTTTCTTGGACAATAATTGTGATTGTTGCTGATAGTTATTTTGTTTAAATACAAGGAAAGGTTGCATTTGAGTTGATGGTACTTGAATTTTAGCAATGCAACAATCAAGTTTGAAATATGCATTGTTTGGAAAATGTTACTTCCAATTGAAAAAATGATGCAATACTATCTATTTACTACGACAACATTTTTGTATTTGTAAAATTTCAATAGGTATGTGGTTTAAATATTTATCTTTTTATATCTGGATTGATTTCAGTTTAGCTCAGTTTTTTTTTAATTCTATAAATCTGTTGTTTTCTCAAATCTTAAAGGGCTCCAACTTGATTTGAATTATTTTTTCAGTTACTCTGAATTAATCAACTGTGGTTAACTGATGAAAAAAAGTAAATATATTAAAAAAAGTTGTGGGCATGTACATCTCTGCTTTTTTATATGAAAGATTAAGAAATGTATATAGTTTGTTAAATTGAAATAATGCACATATTTTTAATTAGAATTATATGGTAATTGTTCAAATTTTATTCATTTTCTCTCAGTAAAGGAAGTTTACAAATTTCTTAGATGAAACATTGTCATTAGTATTCATTTTTTTACTTGTTTTCCTTTTGTTTTTATTGTTTTACCAAAAATCTCAGGTCATTTTTCTACACAAGATACCAAAAGAATGGTTTAATGATGATAGAATAATAATTTGAGAATTATGTAAAAAAGCACAAGATGAAAGAAAGACTAGTCAAAATTTAAGAAATAAAAAAAATCTGTCTATATTTCTATTAGAAATAAAAAAAATCTGTCTATATATTGTAATTATTTACACTGTTTGGCAGAAACGTTGTGAATATAGCAACAAAGATGAGAACAACAGGCCAAACAATGTAAATAGTGTAAATAAAAAAATAAGTTGTTTTTTACTTAGAAATTTTATGTATATTTATAGAGTTTTCAATATTTTTATTTTATTTCAAAATAATTGTTAAGTACATAGGATAGGCTTTATTCTAAATTGTTATAGATGAAAAATTAGGTAAGACAGGCAAGGTTACATGATTCTTTTTATAATGTACAGACGTGCATTTGATCATAATGCTAGATAAATATTACCTTTTTATCCACAGAGGTTGATTTTCAACCTTTACCAGCATTAACATATCGAACTATGGGAGGTGTATTGGACTTTTACATTTTCACTGGCCCTTCACCTATTGATGTCATCCAGCAATACACAGAGTTGATTGGTCGACCATACTTTCCTCCATATTGGGCTTTGGGATTTCATTTGTGCCGATGGGGATATGAAAATTCCCGGAATTTAAAAGAAGTCATCAAAAGAATGAGAGATTCCAAAATTCCTTACGTGAGTCTTATTACATTTATGCTATATCAGAACGAAATATTTACATGAATCATTGCTTACAAGAAATTGTATACTAATTTGAAATGTATTACATTATCTGCATAAACATGTTTTCAGGGAAGCAAAGAAATATTTATCTGCTAAACAAATGAGAACTGTGTGCACACACACACACACACAGACACATACACACAATGTAATCTGAAGAATTTTACTGTGATTTGTTTGAATTCACTCAGAGGCTATATATTTTTGCTATCATTTGAATCATGCAAATATTACAATAATGTATTTCTAAATTTATATTTTTTAAACTCAAACCAAAAATAAAATTCATGTAACTATGCTATAACTAACTATAAAACACAGAAAAATATTACTTAAAAAAAATTCTGTCCACAATACTGTTAGAAATTTATTTATCATGTTAGATAGCAAACATAGACATACCTTTTTTTGTTTGAATGCAGCTATTCAACTTTATATTTCAGACATAAAGATAAACTCAAGAAGGAAACAGACATATTTCATGAAATGATTCACTATCTTCACTTTCTGTCCACTACACCTTTCAACAATGTTTTTCCACCCCACAAACTTCTTAAAAACTTCTCCCATGTTTTTGAGCATGTACACCTATACAAATCTTGATTTATTATCAATAAATGTGACAAAGTATTCAGCTCCACCAAGTGATTTTGTCTCAGTTTTTGGAGATGAAAAACAGTGATGCTGTGGCACATTGCTCCAGAACCCACAATCCAATTTCCCTTTTCCTTATTAGTTAGTAATGCATTATTTGCAAATAAACCAACAGTGCTCATTTTCTGAGTCACTAGGGTCTATTTCCAATTTCATTGTGGCATAGGCTTTCCTTTTGGAGAAATTCCCTTTCCAATTCATCTCCTTTGTATCTTGACCAAGTTCACATGTCTATTTTTTCCACAGTGGTAACACTTTAGTTCATTATTTACATTATTCGGAATATTGTCCTCATCTTTGTCGCCATATTTATCACAACATTTCGGCTATTGTACGCTCCGGCCTTCTTCAGGTGGTTGGAATGTCGAACTGAACCCTTTATTTCGCCCACTAGGGTAGACTGTTCTAGTTCCATGTGCCATGTTTGATGGATGTCAGTTATCAACGGCTGAAACGTTGTGATAAATATGGCAACAAAGATGAGGACAATAGTCCAAATAATGTAAATAATGTACATAATACCTCATCTCAGAAATATAGACAGACACTTTAGTTCATATTTGTTGTTTTAATGCCATAGCTTTGGATTCAGCACTACCACTTTCCTTTTCTTAAAACTTTGACTGCTCATACAACAGTTGTTCAGTCACCAATGTCCATTTAGGAACATCCTGGCTAGCTTCAAGTGCTGTCACCAACATATAAGAATCTGGTAGTCTAGCTAAAAGATGTACAACTTGATCCTTCTCATTGCTGATGACTGACAACTCTTCAAATATTTGTGTTATCACATTAATATGTCTGCAAACAGAATCACCTTCTTTCAATTTAAGCAAATATAATCTCCTTCTCAACACTAACTTGTTCACCATGTTTTCTTTTGAAATTAGTCTGCTAATTTTTTCCACACCACAGCAGAATGTTCAGTGTCCCCAATTAAATATAAAAGTGACGGTTTGACTGATAATGCAATTATTGCCAAGGCACGATCTTTCCATGACAGGTATTTTGAGTTCACATCTGTTTTGGGTTCAGGAACAATCTCTGTCTCATTAACTATGTTCTATAAACCCTCTCTGATTAATGCCATTTTGCATTGAGCTTTCCAAGTAGTGTTATTAGTCCCATTCAATGGCACAAGAATAATAAGCTTTGTTTCCATCACCATATTATATACTTTACAGCATGATGCAAATTTAATATGGCCATTATAAATCCCACAATGTCCTTAAAGTTCAGTATATTCTGGGTCCATGACCTCTGTTAGAAGTTTAAGCATCAAGTTAGATAGAAAACTTAGACATACCTTGTTTTGTGTGAATGCAGGTATTCAACATCATATACCAGACAGGAGGATAAACTCAAGAAGGAAACAGACATATGTTGTACTGTGTTAACACATGTGGTGACTTATTTTATTTATTAGGGACAACACAACAGTGTGCCTTCATAATGACAATAAAAACAAAGAAACTTGGGGTAGATAACTCTGATTCCTGTAAGTGTTCATCTAACTAAAGTGGAATTTTCAACAAATACATGAATAATTTGTATAATACCTTATTTCATAAAATGATTGACTATCTTAATGTATCGCTCATCCTCATTTTCCACACTGTTGTCTTTAAATATTGACATATTAAAAGGTATAACTCATTTTTCTGTTGCTACCTTGTATTTGGTAACAATACTTTATAATTTTTAATCATCATTGTTCTATATTTTCATGACTGATTGAAAGTAATTTGGATGATCCAAAAGTAATGCCTCATATTTACTCCTAAACTAGAAGGCAGTACAATAACAGAGTAAATTTTTCAGCTACAAAATACTATTTTTCTACACTCAGCAGCATTGGCTTTTCCAGCAATGAACAAGACCTTGTGTGCTACATCCATAAAATTTACTAAATGATCCATTTCTTCAAAGTTTTGTGGAGCCTCCTGTTGTCTTTGAGCTTAATCACCTGTGATGCAGTCCTGGAAATTATCATCTTCAGCCTCATAGGGATTCAGCAGGGCCTGACAGCTTGCATTTAGGGCTATTTCTGTTCTTGTCTGAGAAGCTATGTGACCTACCTGGAATATGCATTGTGATAACCTGATTTTGCTAATATTGTTTCTAATGGCACTGAAGCCAACATTCAACACATACACATTTCCATAGTCATAATCAATTCATTGATGCACCTCTGTTTTGTGCATATTTTTATGTCAGATGTCATTTTATGAAACTGCTGCTCAACTGTTATCTGCAAAAAGACAAAAAAATAACAGTGGGTAGAAAGGCTCATCCATCCTGCCAACATCCACTTCCAACATCAGAAGGAAAGAGCGAGTAATTTAATTATAAATGGATGGCAATATTAAAGAGGGATGGTAAAGAGGGATAGTAAGTTGGGGAGAGCTATGATTACCTAATTTTTGAAAGGACACAGTACATAAAACAAGAAGAATCTAAGAAAGCAAAAAGAAAGGATTAACCATTAACAATAAGACAGAATACATAGTTATCAGTAAAAGTGACAATCAAAAGTCTGAATTAGTTCTTCAAGAATAATTGTAAATGTGTCCTCAAAGTGGCTAAGTCTTTGTTTGCTGTGGTAACCTATAGCCTCTAACAAGTTTGGCTCTTATGACTACTGGCAGTTCTATAATAATGTTTTTAATAAGAATAAGTCTTCTAGACCTCCTCTTTTCACTCATTGTTAATGTTTTGCTTGTAAATTCTCTTCAAATTCTACTCTTGACTCATCTGGAGTATCTTTGCCTGACTTTCCACTTAGAAACTAGTCTCTTATGAGTAATATGCATATAACCCCATCCAGGGTTTCTGTTATCTCTAAAATGGATCCCCTCAAATCGCGTGGACTTGATGGTATCCCTGCAATAATCCTTAAGGAATGTGCACCTACTTCTTGCTTTCCTGCTTGTTGGAAATCCTCTTCTGTAGTTCCAGTTTTTAAGAACTCAGGCGAACCATCTGATCCTTCTATCAGCCTATTAGGCTTCTTCATCTTTTTGGCAAAGTACTAGAAGCTTGAATCAACTCTGAAATGGTTAAGCCTCTTACATTGCAGGGTCTGCTTTCTGATAAGCAATATGGCTTCATTTCTCTAGGTCAATATGGCTTCATTTCTCTAGGTCAACTGCTGATGATTATTAATGTAAGTGTGTATCAAGTTTTAGATAAGAATGGTGATGCTCAGGCTGTTACTTTGGATATCTCAAAGACATTTGTCAGGGTTTGTTTTTCTTGTTGAAATATTATGATATTTGTGGTTTAATTTTTGAACTGCTTCAGTCTTTCTTATCGAATCATCAAATGAAAGTTGTCTTGAATGGCCACTGTGGTAATATGCAAATTAAATCGTATATAAGTGGGAAGCTTTCTACACTAGGGAGGGTAGTTATCTTTCCTTGACTATACTACGTATTTGTAAGAACAAATACACGAGACAATTACATCATGTTGACAATAAGATATCTAACCACATTAGAAGATCCTGAACTTGTTGAGACATAGATGAAATGTTTTGTGGCATTGGCAAGAGTTGAGAAATTGAGTGACAGCAAAGATAGAGGAGAAATAAATGAAGTAATGGATTTATTTCTAGCATAAGCTGTTTGTGAGGCCATAAATAGATCTCTCTAATGGTATATCCGAAGATGCTAGAAGACCTTACATTTGAAGAAATTGCCAATATTGTACAAGCAAATGTACATACAAAAAAGAAACTGGTCATAGCTGAGAGGACAAAGTTTCTTGAAATCAGGCAGAATTTGGATGAAGCCCTTAGACTGTATGTTCACAGGCTAAAAGAAGCATTTGAGGTACTGTGAATTTGAAAAGTTGGGTACAGGACTGATGTCTATAGAAGAGGAATTAAGGACTGTATGACGTCTCAATTAAGTAGAAAATTTTGGAACAGATTCAAGTCCAGAACGCAATTATTGAAATGTTTTGAATTTTTACAGCAGCCAGAGTTAATTTAGAGATTTAATACCCCTAAGACTAACGTGGAGACATACAATACTACAGAGAATTTACATAAATTTCATTTTTGCAACAAAGAACATGAGATGAACAAGTATAAATGCCCGGCTTTTGGAAAGATATGTTTTAAATGCAAGAAGAAAAACCATTTCCAGTCAGTATGCAAATATAAAAAAAACAAAAAACAGTAGAAGTGGAGAAGGCAGATCCTCTGACAAGAAATACAGAGATTTATGAAATGAAGACACAAGATAAGAGTAGAGAAAGGGTAAAAATAAATGGAATAACTGTACTAATGCAAA